TTTAGAGAAATATATGTTTATTTTTAATTTCTTTCAAAAGAAAAAAAAGGGGGCAGGCCAATTACTCCCTCCCTCCCCCTCACTTCTGGATGTCCCTTACAACTATGAAGTAGCACAATATACTTAAAAACAAACTTTGAAAATTTGTTGTTTATTATGACAATATTAAAATCAACTACATCAAAGAATAGGATAAAGTGTATCCAAATTAATATTAAAAAATTATATATTAATCTTGCACTCCCTTTTTCCTCATTTTTTCTATCGTTTTTTAAAACACATCAAAATTAACTTTGTTCTTTTATGTCCTCTAAAAACTGTTTTCTGAAATTGCTGAGGGAAATATTAATGATTATTTATGTTATTCCTGCAATGTCTCAAATTGTTAGTAATGATTGGAAGAAAAGAGGAAAATACAAAAAAGGGAAAAAGAAAGAAAAAAAAATTAAAAAAAGAAAAGAGAGGGAAGAAAGAAAAAAAATTCATAAATTATTGAATTCAAGAAACAAATGTATGAACATGAGTTTTAAAACAAATACATTTTACAAATACTTTATAATATTTGTATTTATTTATCTGTGATTTAATGTACTTTTTTTTTAAATTATGTATACCGTTGTTTTTCGTGTATTCCTGAGACTTTTGTTTTAACACAATTTCCATTAAGTTTTTGTCAAATGATGTTTAGAATGATGATTAATTTGATACCTCAAATATTATTGTTCTGTCAACGTGATGTTCGACAAAAGCTGATAAGCCTCTCTCCTATACTGAATGGAGATATCAATGGCACGCAATAGTAAATCCGAGTAGGCCATTGCAAAGCCTTGAAAGTATTTCATTCATGACTCTCGAGTTTTTCACCGGGAAATACGACTCAGATTTAGGGGATTCAACTTTAATTTTTACAATTGGTAAGTAAAAGTTGTATATATAACTGTTATATTTATGACCAAAAATAGTCAGTCATTGATTTTTTTTACTCGTTCTGACTCACGTTCTCATTAATACGATGCCTGACGTTACTATTTCACAGGAACGTAGTCACGTGATAACCGTGCGCTCTCGTAGCGGCGTAGTTGTCAGCGCATGCGTGGAAGTTGTTTACAACGTTCTCGAGCCATACACACATGACCTTTTCCAAGATGGTTGTAGATGCGTATATCGTTCCGTCGTGTGGTTCAAAAATTCCAACTACATGCAAGAAACAAGTACGTCTGTTATTAACAGCGATCAGAATGCCTGTGTCACGATTCAGTGAAAACTTTTGATGATATTGATGAGTTTAAAGACTAAATAAGTTGTAGTGAATTATTGATTTTTGCTCGACCACATTTCCGTCTGTTAATGCGTAAGTTTACGTTCGTGTGTTTTAAAGTGTTTTGAAACGTAATTTCACACATGTTAAACGTGCATTTGATGGTTAAATCTGGGAATTATTTTGGTGGAGTGCGCAGAAATTACAGAGCTGGAGTGATGTTTCATTGACCTCGAATAATACTGTGTTTTGGTATTGCGCATGAGAAACACCCTGCCCTTGGCGCGAGCGTATTTTCGTATTAAGGTGTTGCTAACAAGCAAGAAAACGACTCAACAACAACACACATTGATTGCACGAGAACATCTCATTGAAAGGTGGGATTTAAATACCAAATTTCGTGCAATTAAAGGAGACTGCATATCGGAAGAGGCGTGAACACGCTGTAATGTCAATGAGACCAGTTGCCACTCGCGTGGATTTTTGTGGAGCCAATCTCGGATTCCTGTCAATTGGTAAGTTTCATTTGGAAATTAATTGTTCGAGAATCATTTTTCGATATAATATTTCAAAGAATGTTGTGAATTAGTGCGGGTTACGTTACAGAATGACATGAATGAAGCGAGCACATGGTGGAAATTGAAGTTCACCGTTATTTTGCTCATATTCATCAAAATACGTTGTTAGATGAGCATGATCGTTAGCAGACTGCAATTTACAAAAAATGTAGTGTTAATCACTTTATTTTTGTCTGGAAAATCTGATCTGTTGTAGTTATAAGATACAAATGTATATGCATTTGTTATATTATTATGATTATTTTTGTCTACTTCTGCAAATGGTGTGACACGAATATTTGCTAATATATTTGGTTTTCTAAATTATTTATAATGTGTTTGAATAACTACCTATTAGAGCTGGTTATTGACAGAACACCTTACTTTGACCTCGCTCTCAAGTTTCAAGTTTGTATGTGTAAGAAATTGAAAATGAAAATGAAATTTATTTCTAAGGACAATTTTCTGCAATTTGATGCCAGTTATAACTGCCACATTTGTATGAATTGTTTGTTTGTTTTTGTATATAGTATTCTGTATATGGCATGTTCAGTCATTCTGTAATATCACATTTTGTCATAAAATCACAAAATACTGTAATTGAAAAGTTTTTTATCACCATTACAATAGAAAGTAATGTGACACACAGTCACATGCTGTAAATTGTCTCTTCAATCAATGTATGACATTGCCTTCAAAATATTGTGTTACTGCATAAGACTATTTTAATTTGTGACATTCTTGTTAATTTTGTTATAAAACATTTATCACCCCTAATGCATTTACTCTATTATGATTGTTACGTGAAATATGTACCACAGTAAGTCACAAAGTGAGATATAATGACAGTGATCATTTCGTGTTTATTGTTTCTCTGAGAAAGCAGTGCCTTTCAGTTGCTTCAATTACTTGCATAATTGAAATAAGAATTTCTATCAAAATAGTACCTCTAACATCTTTCTTGTTTGTTTTTCTTGGTGAAAATGCGTTCTTGTCATGGAATGGCATTGACAGCTATTTTGTCTGTTGATCTTCCAGATGTTCGCTTCATGACTCCTCTGGATGCTGTGAAGTCTTGGTGTGCTTCCACTCGACATGTCATCAGTGAAGAGCTCTTCATCGGCTGGAGACTCAGCCTGGAAGGAGCTGGAACGGCAGGATGGAAGGGCCGGAGAAATCTTGAAAATGGGCTATTTGAAGAAATTGAAGGTAATTTTTTTAAAAATTATTTTATAGGGATATTTATGTAGCTATGCAGTCAGGGTTGAGGAAGTCGCAGATGCTTAAAAAAAAGTGACCCCGTGGGTATTTTTGGGCGATATTTTATTTTATTGGGAAATCTTATTTTTTAAATTGTTTGTGTAAAATAATGATTTTCATCAGTCAAATATTCGAATTATTAGTGGAATCCCTCCCCCCATATCGTGTGAAGGGAAAAAAAATAATAAATGTAAAGCACTTATGTAGCTGCAAAACAAGTTTCCATTTTATTGTAAGTTAGTTTTGTACTTGTGTGTATTGTAATGTAACTGGAGTTTTCAGTCTTAGCCAATCAAGTATTTGTTTTCATAATTGTTAAACATGGAATTTTAGTTTTTATAGAATATTTCAATGTTTAAAAAATAATTAAAACATTTAAATGGGTTTTAATTTTTTTGCATGGGTGTTAAAAAAAACCACTTTTTGGGACAGAAAAATTTAACCAACCCTGGATGCTGCCTTTTGATGTTATCTAAACGAATATTTTACTTGTGCTTGCTTTGAAGCATTCCCCTGGTGAGAATATAGACTAGACCTACACACAGCAGTAACCCTAGGGAAACCATCCATGGGCATGCTGGTTACCATTGGGGCCATGTGCAATATTTTGGTACTTCCGGGACGACTAGGTTTGCAGAGGGGAGCACCCATCCATTCAACGTTACATGATTGTAAAGGGCCTGTTAGTATTCCAGGCAAAGCATACTACTCTTCCGATTTATTTTTTACAACTAATTATTGAATTGTGTTCATGGGATGTTTAATGTTACTAGTCAAAAATGAACTTCCTTTTCCGCTGGTTTAAAGTGATAGATTTTCAGGATAATTTCTTTCAGTATTTTCTTGGAAATGCACAGAGAACGCTGTTGAATAGCTTAGGAAGTGCTGGCTTTTCAATGTCTGTGCATAACGGCAGGCTGCCAGCAGAGTTAAAGAAGTGATAGGAGGGCTTCAGTGGGGTAACAGTGAGTTCAACTGTTATACTGAAGTTCGTGAATTGAAACCTGTTTGAAGCCATGGAATGTTTGGGGGCAAACTATCCTTTGGACACTTTCCTTCAGATGGGAAGTAAAGCGGGCTGCCCTGTCTTATAGATTCACTATAAATGTTAAAGATCAAGCCTAAAAGGAGCCTCTCGAGTTAAATTCAAATTGCCTATTTCATTGGCTTCATGCCTTCTTTCTCTACTAGACAGGCGAAAGGAACATTTGTGTGGTCGGACGGAAGAGCTGGCCTGATGGCCTGAACCTTGCTATGTAAAGTAAAGCATCATTCATTGATTGCTTAGGGGATTTTCTCAACCATGATGCCCTTTATTCAGTTCCTTGGGTAGGCCCTGATAGGATCTTTCAAATAGGCTTGGTTTGTCAATGTCAGTATGTGGCACTGCCCCTATCATGTGTTACTGCCTGGGAATAATTTCCAAGTTGTTGGAAGAATATGTGATCTTGTTAAAACATATTACCAAAGGAGTATTAATTTTTTCAGGTACCTTCCAGGGCTTTTGCCCTTGCTGCTAGTGTCTCTTGACAAACAGTTTTTTCGCCCTTTGACGAAACATAATCCCCCTCCCCCTGTCACCCATCAAACATACATTGGGAAAATATCTCTGTTATACCTGTTGGGCCTGGAAGGTAAGAAATTAAAGAATGGGATCCCTCCTCATTGGAAATTTTATTGCTGACAATTGTTTAACCTCTGGTTGCTTCCTACTTCAGAAGTATTAACACTCTTAATTCGAGTTGTATGAAAAATTTGCAAATATTGCAGAATAATTGTAAGTTACAGAATAACGATTTAAATTCTTAAACTACCCATACAAAACTTATCGTACTAAATTATTGCATATTTATCACAATTATAAAATTATGAAGAGAGGAAGAAACTAACACCTGCTTAACACACACACACACATAAATACCAGATTGAAGTCCACAGAAGGGTGGCTCATACTACACATGTATCAACTGAAAAATGTGTCTCTCACATAAGTGCTTACTCATTCACTGCAGAAAAATCTTGTATTGTTTTTAAGTATTGAGCCCAACACTGAAACCGTTTTGCAGTTCAAGGAGTGTGGAAGGGTAATGTTTTCTCTCTGAGCCTCTTGGTTTACAATATTTTACTGCCCACAGGGTTTTTCTCAAAGACAAGCAAAACATCAAATTAAAGAAATTTCTTGTCTGGTCCTTGCCTTGCTTGCTGGTCCCTTTTCTTGCTGGCTTCCTTTCTTTTTCCTCTTTTCTTCCTTCCATTTAATGAACAGATACAACCAATGCAGTACATGTAACCTATGTGCGTATATAAAATTGACAGTTATTTGTTTGACGGGTAACTCCACTGAAACAACTTGACTGATACGTGAATTTGGAGACTTTTGTGGATCAGGCGCCAACTCAGGAGTTTTTATATTACTTTGATGGTCGGTCTAATTCAAGAGCCAGAGAAACGTGTTTCGCTGTGCCCTCCACGCCTTTTACCCCCCTTAATTTCTCTCTCGCTCTCTCACTGTTAGGCTTGTGTCACACGAGCGTTGCGTTGACGCGCGTCACCTAACGTTGATGACGCGCACTAGAGCGTTTGTATGCCGTTTCGCATAAGATAGTGTTAATCTACGGCGCGCGTTATGTGACTCTACGCGCCCGATCACGTTATGTGACGCGCGTCAGCTCAACGCTCGTGTGACAGTCCTAATTATGCATTACTTAGTTTTATTTTTGTGTTTAGTTTTATTCAATGCCATTTATGAAAAAAATAGTTCATCCGCGGATATTTTTTTCGTGTTATGTACGTGTCCATTAGTTTTCTCCTTTATAGTAGTTCGTAGACGGCAATGTAAAGAGTACGTATAAATTAAGCATTTTTCGTTTGCACATTTTCCCTCTTACGATTAAAATTTTCCTTCTCTTGAAACTACAAGATTCCACAGTAATTACATCTCACCTAAAATTCACACATGCAGCTTGAAAGTTATTTCAAGAACTTACAATTTGATCAGAAAATAAAAGTTTTGAGGAGTCTTTTTATGAAACTTGTCTATGTTCTGCATTTATGAACTTGTTTTTCTTTTGGTTGTATGACTACTGTGGATAGTGCAGATAATGGATGGTTTAGTGTGTCCATACAATATTAAAATGTCAACAAAAATTAACAAAAAGGATACTGTTTCTACTCATTTCTTAATATCAAGTCCAAATAATACAAGCAATAGAATACCATGTATCTTTTTTTTTTTTACTCTTTATTTTTTTAAATTCTATGTTACTATATTTGAACACTGAGGATGGCATTGGCACACATTTGTCTCTTGTATTTGAGAATGAATTGTCTGCACACCATTTGAAATACTTTTAATGGTCTCAGATAAGTGTCTTTTTCTAATAGTTCAGTGTGTATGTGATGAAACTACAACATGGAAGTTGCATTCATGGCTCAGAAAGTTGAAATAGCTTTTTCTTAGCTATCAATGTAAACCAAGTAAGAACAAGCTTAGCAATTTCTAATTGTACTGCATTTGTGCTCTGTGTGTACTTGTTATTCCCTTGTTTTCTGCCATTTTCGATGCCTCTAGCAAGTAAAGTTTGAAAGGAGGGAGATGTCGAAGAAAGTGATTTATATGCCAGTACTTGTTGTAAGGAATTTTAGTTTGCCAGTATCTCCATGGAAAGTTAATATGTCACAGCTAATAATGAATTCAACAATATTATCTGACAATGAATGTACAAAATTATTCATCTCCAAAGTATAGACACCTGCAACTTAAGATTTTCAAGATTCATATTAAAATGTGGGTGTTAATACATCAGTGTTCCCAATTTGCAAGATCAACTTGATAGCACGGCAGTTTTTTACTACAGAATTTAAGTACAGAAAATTGATATTGAGTATGAGCACAAAATAGTCAAGATAATGTACGTATGTAGAAACACACTTAAAATTAAATTTGTTAAAATAAATATAGTATATAAATGTGTGTAACAATTTATATTTTCTACAAAAATATGCAGAATAATTAGCAGTTTATTGCAATATGTTATTAAGAAGTAACATGATTTTTATAATGTGGGATATGCACATACCAAGTGAGCATATATTCTGACTACGTGGGAGAAAATAATCATCTGCATTGAAATCTGGCTTCTCCTTAGAGGTAAATGTCAGTTTAATTTCATAGATAGATTTGTTTCCATCCTCTTCTTCTCATCATCATTATGTTGACGTTCAAGCTTCCGATTGGATGAAACTGTCAAGAGCTGATACCTGCCAGGAGCTGAGTAGTGTGAATCACAGTATAGATCTGTTTTAGTTAGATAGTTAAGAGATGCCTTGCAAACACAAGCAATATCTTTATTTTAACTGTGAGGTTAAAGTAAGATGAAGGTTCAAATTACTCCTGAGTATGGAAGTTGGGAGTTTAATATTTGTGTGATTTTACTCGTATTACTTAAGGTGGTTTTATGATGAAATGTCTTGATGAGCTCTGCGTTTGAAGTGTGTGTTGGAAGACTTTTCCCAAGTTTCTCTCAGTCTCTTGGCATTCACATCACTTTCTGAGGCACAATGAAACACAACATAGCATATACAGCTTGCTCTTCCGCCTCCTGACCACGTTCCTTTCGCCATCTAGCCGAGAAAGGAGGAATCAATCGTGCGATTTGAATTAGACTTGGGCTTGAGGATCTTTTGACTTGCAGTAATTCTACCACATGGGACTGCCGACCGCTTCTGCACTAATCTCCTCCGACCCGCGCCCTCCCTTTCCTGGCCGGTCGTTGGTTCGAATCCTGCTGAGAGCATTGTGTGTGCATCCTTAACACTTTCGAACCCAAAATTGTACCTCTGAATTCCTTCCCCATCCCCTATCTTGCTTCAGCGAGAAGAATATTAAATGCACCATGCTTTGCCTGTTCGGTCATACGAGCTTTTTGCTTTTACATTTCTGCCAAAGCAAATTGGGAGGGGGGGGAGTAATACGCAATAAAATAAAACTCGGAAACAAAAATATCTATTTGCCAATCTGGCTATTTTTTAAATTCATTTTTATTTATTTTAAACTTTTATTCATCTTTCAACTATTTATAGTTAAAATGACGGGAAGGGATTGTGGAACTCAAGAAAACGTGCGCAGACAATATTCTCAGTTTTTATTGTTTTTTTTTTGTTTTTTGTTTTTTTTTAACTAAATACATCTAAATCTAAGAATCCCGTTCGTATCACAAACGTCGGCTGACTCGTGCTTGTGCTCTTCCTGTTCGTGCTTCCCTATTATTTTTGTCATTCCGCCAACCGGATAATCTTCCCTTGACAATAGTATATTTGTTAAGCTACAATACAGGAAACGTACACTTTACAACTTGCTCTTTCGGAAATAGTATTTATACGCATAATTCTGTGATTGAAGTCTGGACAATTGGAGATAAATAGAAAGCGTGATAAAGTAAGCAAACAGGCTCTTCGAAAGTTTGTCTTTTTGGCTTCATGGCTTAATTTGGTCACTTAATTCTTACGCGTACATATTGTCATCTTCTTACAATATTCCTTTTGATGCCGATATTGCAACTACGTAAATCACTCGTGAAAACTATCCCCAGTCTCCAACTACTCGCGCTGAACTGCCATTTTGAAGCATTAACCGCCGGCGAGCCAGCCCGTGGTAGAAAGAAATGGGTGAGCTAGTCGGGCACACCGATTTTTGCTCGTTCTGTGCAGCGCCTGTTGGCTTCACGAACCCCATGACCCCAGTACGGGCACTTCATTTCAAAAGCCAGACCAGAAGCTGTCCGTCATATTGCACGGAGAGCGAGATCTGTTGAGAAACACATTGAAAGTGGCAATTTTCAAGGGTGACCAAGCAAAAATAACAGGATGAAGGTGTATAAGACGCAATATTTAAAAGAAATGGGTCGTATATTTGTTTCAATGACATTTAACAATGTGGTAATTTTAGTATCTGGCTGCATTTAAAATTCCCGCTAATATTGTGACGCAAACTGGTGCCTGAAGGTCATTGAAATCGGATTCGATGCGCAATAGCTGACCCGTCTCTTTCCATCGTGCGCTAGCTCACCCATCTCTTGCCATGATGCGCCACCCCATATGGCTGGAAGAACAATACATTTTGCGGAGCGATGCGGCGGTCCAACTGTTTTAGAACCTGTCAAAATATCGACTACTGGCCTGAATATGGGCGTATAAGCTGCAGCTTCATTCCCACAGCCATCGCGTGTCGTATAGTGACTATCGGAACTTCGGACAGCGAAATCCGCACGTCCGACAACCAACGGCAGGACAGTCCGTCGTCGCGGTCCGACGTTACGATGTGCCTTGTCGGATGGTGTTGCGTTACGGTACGTTGTTTGTTACATGTCAAGCTCCCCTCCTCTTAATATACCCACGCGTTTTCTTGATTCTCGAAATACCTATCCCCCCACGCACACACTTCTATTATCATTAGTTGAATTCAAAATAAAGGACAGTAACGAGCGTTATAGACAAAATCCAATAACCGGAAATATTCGCACTCCTCTAATAGAAGCATTTTGCTTAAAAAACAAACGAACTATACATTGGATAATAATATGCCGGTCTTCGAAATAAAGAAACTTGCACTCCTCTCGCGCCTAGCAAAATGAGGGCTCAAGAAAACGTGCGCGGATAACGCCGGATGCAAGCGCGATGGGTTGACGCATGTCCGTCTGCATGGACGAAGACCGATACGGGCTGGACCAGCCACGTCGACGCGATGGATGGGGAGACTGCGTGGGAGGCAGGCCACGTCGCAGGGGCGGATCAAGCCGATCGTTTTGGAGGGGGCCATCGTAGGTTTTTGTTAAACATGGTAATAAACATTTGTTATTATATTGTATATTATTTTTGTAGTGTATACAATATACTATACAGTATTATTTTGTAAATAATTATATAATTCTATCAAATATTTAAATCAATTTTTCGAAATAAAAGGACGTAACAAACGAAAATTAGACCTTTTTGGGGGAAGGGACATACCCCCCCCCCTGGACCCGTACCTCCCACGTTGGTTGCATCTAGAGATGCGACGTCGACACATGGACTAAACACTATCATTGATTTTCAACATCGATGTTTTTAGACCGAATTACTGACCTCTAAAATTAAATCCGTGTGCATTAAAATGTAATTTGACTGTGTTCGTTTTATCAATTCGGCGAATAAGGGTAAGGCAAATCTTACCCCCTCAGCGTATTTGTTCACCGTATCTCTATGTGCGAAATGAATAAGAGGAAATGCAAGGGTATGGAGATCACCTTAGGGCCAGAGAGTTTGGTCGATAGTGCAAACAGTGTTCCTTTGGTTCCAATACATGAAAATCATTTTTACTGTCAATTATAATTTCTTATTTTAATGTTTACAGTATTGTGATCAGGGGTTTTTTTCATTCGGAAACAAAACATTGGAAAGAAAAAATATCGATCACAAAACATCAGTGTTAATAAATCTATGTTTTTAAAACATCGATATTGATGTTGCATCCCTAGTTTGAAATAAGGGCCCCTGTGGATCTACCGCTCCCTATTCTATTATTTATGTAACTGCCCCTTGCAGGTATCAGCTGTTGACGGTTTCATCCAATTGGGAGCTTGAACGTCACCATTGTGATGTCACTGGTGACATCCAAGCCCCCAGATTGGATGAAACTGTCAACAGCTGATACCTGCCAGGGTATGAGTTGAAAAGATCGCAGCATAGTTTCTCTGGGCACCCCTGAAACAAGAGTACTGAAATAATAGGAGAGAATTTTCTAGGTTGGGGGTTGACCACCCTTAACCCAACCGAATATTTTTTTTGAGGAGAGAGAAAACTTGTGACTTTTGTCTGAACCACTTCTTCATAGCGAACAATTTTCTAGGCCCGAGGAGAAAACTTATTGGAATCTACTCTGTCCCAAGTAGACCTCTATAGTGGACTATTTTCTAGGTCTGCTGTGAGAGTTTCCATTTTGTCAAAACCCTCGTGAGTGGACATTTCTTTTGGGTTTTTTTTTAGAAGACTTTTAATGTACTTACATATTTTTCCATTAGGAATTTTATATCCAAACACATTGTGTAATGTTCAAAAGATGTCATGTTGTTAGTTTAAGGTTAATTTGAAATTTGGTTGCAAGTTCGAACTATTTTATTATCATTATTACTATTACTTTATCCCTCTTCTCAAAACTTAAACTCTACCTAAAGAACATGTACTGTGCCTCTTTGGCCACAATAACTTCAGCAATCTGCTACCATTAAATTAAATAACAATTCAATGCTCTTCAATGTTTGACTTACCAAAAGTCTCTTAGCTCCAGATATATTTCTTGATTCTCCAACAGGAATTTTCTTCAATTGTGGATGAAATCCTAGCTCCTTTATAGCATATGTAGGGACAGTTTGAATATATATGCTTGATTTCTGCCCTATCCCTGTTGTGATTGTAATCACAATACACTGATATACAATTCACAATAATACACAAATCACTGATAATTATCAAAGAGTTGGGGAAGGGGGTCTCTTTTTGTGAGGTTGACATGTCGGCTCTGACTGTCATTGCCCATGGTAATCCCTTTATCCATGATCCAGCAGGTAAAAATTAAAAATAGTAAGTGTAACTACTTTTTTGTTCTTTACAGACTATGAAAAAGAAGTTTTTCGTACTTCGAGGCGAGTCATCTCAAGCATCTGCTAGATTGGAGTATTATGACAGTGAGAAAAAATGGCGATCCCATCATTCTCCAAAAAGGTTTGTAGAGTTGAAAAACTACTTTACAAAATTGAAATCTCAGTGAACAACCCACGATTTTTGATTAGTGGAATTATTATGAGGCTTTACTATTATCTTGCTTTTTGTATCACATTGTCTCAAAAATGTGCATAATTATTCATGAATCTTCACTGCAATGTAATCTTTGAATCACTTAATTAATAAGTTCATGCATTATCAAAACTACTTACAGTTTTTGGCTACTGTACCTTGCAAGAAAATATTACTTTTTTCTTATATAAAGGACGTGGAAATTTTTTATACACATTTTGGATGTGTTTATGTTTACCAAACTGCAAAAATTGATTTATTGTTTAAGCTGAGCCCTATGTGTTTTTGAGATTCACTTTTATTGTGGATTTGACACTGTTTCTGAAGGTTTTGCATTGAATGCTTATTGCTGTTATATTGTGAATGAGTTTAATTTGAACTGCCTATGATCAGTTTTGTTCTGAAGTTGGATAGATGTCTGCTCCCAGGGAAGGGTGTCTCTTCAGACTAGCGGAAAACTTGATTTTAATTAATCTTGTGAAGGGGCAGGGACATAGTAAGTGAAGAGATTACAGATACTACATCCAATTTTTATTTTTTTCCTTTTGGTGGCAAAAGCAAAGAGAATAGACGGGAGAGAGATGAACATTGAAAGATGAGGGAAGTGGTATATTTGATAGTGCAGAGATAACGAAGTTGGGCTTTGGAGCGAGGAGAGTTGAGGTAAGTGGAGATTTGGAAGGTGGAGTTATGGGGGAAGTGGAGTGATTAGATGAGGAAGTGGAGCTTTGGAGGGCGGAGAGACGTGGAAAGTGGAGCTTTGGAGGGTGGAGAGACAAGAGAAACAGATCACTTGCAACTTGCCAAAATGCAGAGACCTGGCCAATCTGTGTCAGTAGTTAAATTCTAGTTGGTTGACTGTTGTGAAAAAAGTGTTAAAGAGAGACTGTTAAGAAGAAAGCATTTCCTCGTAGGAGTGGTGTTATTGTAATTTTGATATTTCTGGTCAGTGATGAAGTATGCTGTTGTCTGATATTGCTGTTTATGAATGGTGGCTCTTCACAGGTTGTTCATGAAGTGAAAAAAGTAAGCAATGGAGTTTATAGTTTGTTTTCAATGTTCCCTTTCAGGAGCATTGCTTTGAAAACTTGTTTCAACATCAATCGCCGTACGGATACCAAACACAAGAATGTCATTGCCCTGTATACGAAGGACGACTGCTTCTGCCTGGTCCTGGAGACAGAGGAAGAACTGGAGGAATGGCTGAACAGTCTGCTTTCGCTGCAGCATGGAGAGGATGTGCCAGATGGAGAGCCTCCCAAGCCTACTTTCGGTGAGTTGCTGCTTCATTGCCTTACGGTTGTCTTGGGCATTAGTGTTGTAAATGTAATAATAGAAATCATCTTAGATTTATTTAGAGGGCAGTCTCTCAAAGGCTTTGTCACATTGGAGCATGTTGCCTGTCTTTGCCACATTTAATGAGACTGATGATGACGGCAGAGCTGTCGAATGCTCTTTCTTTCTAAGTTGGTTGACTTCCATTATTTTGTCCTTAAGTAATGTCGAAAATAGCTCATCAGCATTCCTGTAAGTTAGTGTTGTTGACCAGGTGTGTTAGCATGTATAGTTGTGAATCTACAACTCAAGATTCATAGAATGGGAGATGATGGGTTCGAGTCGGAGGTGGAAGCAGGCTGCTGTGGATGGTGTATCTATGGTGTCCAATCAATTTCAGAGAGATGCAGGAGTAGAATTTTAAACAATAAACCACTGGCAGCCCTTCCTTTCCCATTCTGTTTCCTCTGCCATCTTATGGGGTAATTCACAGTCGCAAGTGACAGTGCCACTGATCAACATTTCCCTCGGGGCTGACTCTTCTTGAGCGCATGTTGCAGATTGATTGTTTCAAAAATTTTGTGGTATTTCTGCGAGATGTGGCACATTGTATAAGAAAGAGAGATTAGTATTTGATTGCTGATTGCTTGCTTCCAAATTCGCGGTATTCACTTACAAAGGTAGATATAGATATATAGAGAGAGATATAGAGAAAGTGTAATTAAATATACCATTGCGCAATTTGAGGCAATAAATTCCGGTTAAATCTTATGATTAAAGTAACTAAACTGCTTAGTCGGTATGCTGTCCATAACTACACTTATCTGTTGCGTTATCGGGCAGGGTTGCTAGGCTGCCTATGATAATTTTTGCGCCATGAATCTGGCGTGTAATTTTTTCTTATTCAATTAGTTGTAGAAAAACCTAAAATAGCTTTTTGGTTTTTTCAAATGAGTTATCTGTATACTACGTCGGGCAATTTTTTAGATATATCCAAAACAATTGGGTCTGGGAGACAATAAATAAATAAATTATCTATTTCAGTAGATGAAGGACGGTCTTTTAGTGAAATTTATATTTGACCCTCATGAACATAAACGCACCCTGGGAGTACAATTGAGCATCAGATAGATAGATACTTACAAACTTTCTCTTACATTGGCTTCATTCGGTCACGCCCTGTCACGATTTTATCATAATACGCTCTTATTGTAAGCATTATTTTCATACAAACAGAGGAATCGGAAATCAGGAATCTATTCTCTTGCATATCCACACACAGGGGATTGAATTGCTTATAGTGCGATCACTATGCCATGTTACATTGTCTCTCCTTGCATGCTACATTGATTGTCTGTTAATCTATTATATATTTTGTTTACGTACAGTTCATATTTTCAGATAATCTGAACATTTCGTATCTGACAAAGACCACGCCCTCAATTAGTTTGGAGTACTGGGTCTACCTCTAACCAAATGTGACAAAATTGTGTATGCGCAGGCAAAGTACATTGGTGTTCATTCTTAGAAACTCGTTTGTATAGGAATATTTAGTTAACTTCAATTAAAATGTAAACGAGTTTGACAGTTATCAATTGGGATTTGTTGTTCAATTGAGAGCATTATTACAATTTAATTTTTGATATCGAATGTCAAGAATTGGAGTAACTACATTCAGCTAATAAATGTCAATCTGCTCTATGTTTTAATGGGAGTAGATACACCTGTCAGTGCACATTACACATAGAGCCATTCATTTTCATTTTTGATGGTTTCAAATTGAGATAGTTTGAAATTTTGGATGTAATTGACTAATTAATTTCAGGTATATAGTTGTTGCAATGTTTGTACACATTTTATGATAGATTGATTAAGTTCTAATAAGAAATTCAAGGTTTTTTGGACATTTGGGAAAATTTTCTTGCCTATTGACTGTAAAGGCGATAAGAGATAAAAATTCTAGGTATTGATTGAAATTAAAAATAATTGAATTTGTAACGGATAAATTGTGTTTTATATAGAAGAATTATACTATAGTATCCACTATTCTTAAGTATAATTGGTTTCAGAATTGTTTGTATTTGAGATTCAAAATTTCTCATTTTCCAGCTAAGTTTCCATTTGTATTAATAGGTCAATGGAATGAAATACTGTTATAGAAAAAGAGAAAGAGGTGTGACGGTACTGCTTTAGATGAAATTTTAGTATTAAGAACGAGAGTGATCTGATTATAATGATTCTTGTAGATTTGGCACACCAGCATCCCTATTGCATTCAGTTGTCTCTAAAGTTCTGTTCTGAAGGTATGGGCTCAGAGCAGAGCTGGGTTGAGGTCATGACTTTTATTTAGTAACTGTTGTGAAAATGTATTTATGGGAATGTATGCAAATGGAATTCACTTGTGCGCAGCCGTGATGAAACGTCGGGATCTGAGGCGTAGCTGTCTTTCTTTCAAGTTACTATTGTGTCCAAAACTGTATGTCTGACCGGTTATTTACTTGCTCAATTGTCACCTTGATCTTAGTTGTGCATTTGTTGTTTTGTTAGGTGTGTTAGTATTCTCAAATAGAAATTTCGGCAATGGAAATGTATGTATTGTGTTGAGAAGCAAGGTCTTCGGTTCAAAGTGTATATTGCGGAACTGATATTCGTAATTGCAAGAAGCGCACATTTTAATTTAAGTGAAACAATCAATTGTGGCTGATTAGAACAAATTGTTTTATATTAATTAATCTCCTCTTTGCTGCCCTGATAAGTTTATTCTCAAAATAAATTGTAAATTAATGAGATGTGCAATATTTTTAAAATTTTATTTAACCATTTGTGTTTTATTTTGTAAATTTCAGGTTAATTTTGGAAATGTTGCTGTGCTGTGGTGTAATTTTTTGATTACGACGTTTTCTGCATATGGCTATTAAATCTTTTTAATATAAATTCGGGTCGATTCAGTGAATTAGTAGGCGATCGGGAGCTTGACAGACACTACCACCGGCTGAGGTGGCTCAGGCATAACTGTTGTCACTGCAGTGCCTCTGTCCGCGAAGTTTCTGCGTTAGTCCGACGGTGGCAGGATTTTCGACACAAACTTGTTAGCTTAGGTCGTATTCAGTCGCGTTGTCTGGAGGGGAATTCTTAGCGGCCGGCTGCTCTGATTTGTAGTTTTGTGGTTGCTCCTGTCAATATCATGCGAATGCCGAGCAGCCCTATATCGTAATTAATTATTTATTTATTTTCCGTCAAAATAGTTAAACTGTGTGTGTGTGTGTGTGTGTGTGTGTGTGTGTGTGTGTGTGTGTGTGTGACGTGCTTACGGGGAGAAATTAATTCTATGCACGTTTAATAATTTTGTGAATCCCTAGCCTAAATAGATACCTAGTTGAATTTGAATACAAAATGAATGTGCGTCTTTTGCAGTGCAGCTATAGATTTAGGCCTCTTATCTCTCTGTCCTTCATTAGAGCTAATACTTCATGCGCGACAAAATAATTTTTAACGATAATCGAATAACTAGTTTCGTAAAAAATTCTAGAAAGCGTGTCAGATATTGAAGTTACATGTATGTCCAGAAGCAAAACAAGGGACCACCACAGCATTTGTCTCAAAGGGTCATGGAAACGGTGCGATAAACTGATCGAGGTGGGGTCTTGCCCTAAAAGAGGCACGCACCGCGCGCGATCTTTCTTTCCATTCCTTGCCCTATTCCCACCCTACTCACATGCAGTACAGTACCTACACATGCGTGCGACTGGTCGGGAGTTCTAGAGCTTGTTACGGGTGGTGAGATTATTGCTAGGTTGGGGAGGATCCCGGACTGGGTCGGTCGGGATCTCTTTATCCGGGGAGTCCGGAGTCTCGAGGAAAACGCGCGCACTTTATCGGGATATGCTTCATTGAACTTCCCGGTAACTAAATCTTGTATTGCAGACGCAATGCATTGTAATCGGCGAATGGGAAGTCAATTGAAAGAGGTGGCGGGAAAGAGGTATTCTGTTTTCAGTTCAAATGAAAGTGGACCTTTAATTAACCTATTGGCATATAATTTGTAGGAAGTTGTGGATTGGGCAGAAATATGTAAAACGGCGGACCGGAGCCTCGAATGCTCTGGGACACGGTGTAGGCTAAGCGTCAACTCGGCTTTAAACGCTTGACTTATAAACACGACTGCATTCGCGCTTGCGTGTCCATGTCATTCAGAGTTCTCGCGAAAGCGGGGCTTTTCCTTACGTCTTACTAGATAAGGATAAGAGCCGGAGTCGCGTGACCATAACATATTATTTTCGTCAGCCACAGCGAAAGCGGGCGCTGTTTAGGGCTTTACGGGTGCTTTAAAGTTCGGTTTAAAGTAGTGCTGAAAGTGAAACGACGCTCAAATGTTGAGATAAACTGAAACAACAAAGAAAAACGTACGTTCGGCTGATCAGTTCTTGTGACTTGAATGAGGGCCGGATTTAGTAGTGTGGGGCCCAAGCACAAAATTATTTTGGCCCCCGCCCCCGAAGAAGTAGCTCCATCTTTATTAAATAAATATGTATTTATAGTACAAGTACTTTTCTGTACAGATCAAATGAAAACTGTAATTTTTCATAGAATTTTTACTTGTGTTACATTTTTTTTTACATTAAATTATTTTACATAATTTTTTTTCTGCTCTCACTGCAGAAAATTGGTTTGGATGTCTTCAAAACGAAGATTTCAATGATTTCAAGAGGCAAGAAAAAAATGTAAAGTTTAAATAGTCGGAGTTTGGGGGCCATGGCCCCATGGTGCCCCCCTTGGCCTTGGATCCGCCACTGATGTATGATAACCGATTCTAGCATTCTTCCGTTTTAGCATTTCATTCTACACATTGTTTGAGACATTAAATTTCTATTTGGTCTATAGGCCTCCTTTTTGTCATGAAGGCCCATTAGCTGTTAATTTGAGCATGAAATTTTTGAGGTTTGCATAAAAAATTTACATATTCAGTTATATGTAAAGAAATAAAGTATATGTTAATAT